ACGTGGAGGAAGCCCGGGGGAAGACCCAGGACACACTGGAGGGACTATGTCTCTCGGCTGGCCTGGGAATGCCTCAGCATTGCCCCGGAGGAGCTGGAGGAAGTGTCTGGAGAGAGGGAAGTCTGAGCATCTTTGCTTAGACTGCTGCCCCCGCGACCCGGTTCCGGATAAGTGGAGGAAAAATGGATGGATGGACAGTACAGCAGACTAAGCAATTGGACATAAGTCTTTAACTGGTTAAAAAAAAAAAACCACACACACACACTAACAAAACCAAGTTGCCAGCATAATCTGTCTTTATTCACTCTCCACGATCATCCAAATTTTAAACCCTTTAAGCCATTTTCATTGACTCAACATAGTTGCTGTGCACTTTTACAAAACAATCTGAAGGTTAAAACCTCTGCCACAGTGGAATGCATGACACAATAAAACTCAGTTGGAATCAACAAGTGACTCATTTTAACAGCTTAAGAAAATTATAGCTTTAGCACCATATTACTGAGAACATTTTTCCCACTGAGGTATTATCTGGTATTTTGCTTGGAACTTCTCTTGTGCCATTGTTACAAGTATGAAGTTTGGGGTAAACTCTAAAGATATTGTGTAGTTTTCTTAATGAAATTGAATTCAGTGCGAACGACAGCAGTTGACCTCTTGAAATGCATATTTTGCAATGTGGAATTTGTATTATTGCACCGCTGTGACCTTTAGAGAGTATGTTTATCAAAGAGGTATTCTCCCATATGACGGTCTGTCTCAGACGCAGTGATGCGCGACAGACTGCCAACATAATCGCCCAGCGTCTTGATGGTATCATGGCTGTCGGTTAGGAAGTGCCCCTCAAGAAAGTCACACAACTATAGAGGAAGTAAGGCAGAAGACAATGAGAAAAATTAACATGGGTAATTGTTAACAATGTTATCTTCAGCTGCAGCAGCTCAAGATGACGAAATAATACCAAAGAAAGGAGTTAGTTCTGTGAAATGGTCTAGTTTTGCAAAGTCAGACGTGGAACAGACAAACTAGAAGTGGCAGCATGACAAACTTTTTGCAGCTTGTTTTTAGGTAGCTCTTAAAGCTGCTTCAGTCACTGGTACAATAAATATAGAGAAATTATTAAAGTTGTGAATCATCCATAAGAGAAAAAAAGATCTAGAGCTAATTTTCTGATCATATCACCCAGCCCTGTTCCAAACAGCGTAGCTGTTTTCTTCATAGTCACTATCTCACAGTCAAACAACAGCCCTAAAAAGAGAAGTATTTATGATGCATTTATCTAACAGTGTCAGACTTACATGAGGATCGGTGTGGACGCTGGCTCTGCTGTGCACATTAAGAATAGATGTGTTTAGAGACTTCTGGTATTCTAGAGAAAAGGACACTGCATCCAGGCCACCTTTCCAATCATCTCTACTTGGTTTCTAGAAAAGAGAGTTGATAATTGGATCAACACATATTAACAATAATGGTTTGAAAATGTTTACCACAATTGCATGTTGATGACTTACAGCAATAGTCTGAAGTAAAATTCGACCTCCTCTCATATTTTGATATTCCAGCAGCTCCTCAGCCTGTTTCCTTTCCTTCGCTGACAGCTCCAGGAAAAAGCTGGAGAATTTTGGCAAGGCAACATCATCCCTGTCAAAATACATCCCCTAAAAGTAATGGCAGAAACAATATTTAGAGATTCCAGTGTGAAGAAATAGAAATCCTAGCAAAGAGGGCGCTATCTAGCAATAAACGATAACAAACTTTATGACCACAGACTGTATATAAAGAGGAACAGTATAAATCATACCAGAGCAAGGTAGGTGTAGGCTGCACTGAGCTTCAAGTTGATGAGTTTGTTGATGTCTCCTTCGCAATCAGAATGGAGGTTCTGTTTGACCACAGACTGCATTTCTGAAAGACAGAAAAACTATTGCCCTCTGTGGTATCAGGGTAAAACAATACCAATTAAGATAAAGCCACTAACCTTACTTTTAAACATACAAACTTCCGGTGTAGCACAAAACAGCACAGCACTTTCTCAGCTAACAAACTTGCCCTCTGAACTGTGTTTACTGAAGTTGTGCAACCTACGATTACCCTCTTCAGCACAACACCACGCTGTCATATCCCGTAGTGTGAATTAAGTTAAAGGGGTTTGTAAAGTTTCAAGTTAGAAAATTACGACCAAATGAAGCTCGGTTAAGGCCACCTGCTTAGAAAAATATACTTAAGTTAAGGGCGACCGCTAGCCAAGTTGCTGACTGTTTTGCTAGCCAAGTTAGTATTAACAGTAATTAACTAATTATTAGTTAATTCAATTTACATAACGCTATATATGCAAGTAACTAATATATGAGACGGACTATGGCTACAGTTCGTTGAGGCCATTACCTTTGTCTTATCAGTGTCTTGCTCTCTGAATGTGACTCTCCGCTTTTGCAGTACTGTGGCAGGCTTTATCTTCTTGTTCACAGACCACCAAACAACGACCCACCCCCAGGGCTGGGAACTTCTTCTTCTATGGACTCTTACTGGCAGCTGACATCCTTTGTCTTGCTGTCTACAATACTTCATATTACTACATGCTTTTATAATAGACCACATACTTCTCGTCATGCCTGCTTTATTCTGTAGTGAGTACAAGTGTCATCCACTGTTGCCAAAGTTCGTATTGTGGTTTTTGTAGGCGGTTGACAACCAGCTTTTAGGTGCGGTACCGCCACCTACTGGACGGAAGTATGTAGGTGTGAACAGTACTGCAGACAGGGAGAACAAAAGTAAAGGTAAATGTATTTTGCGTTACAGATAGCTTTTAAGTGAAAATTAATCACTTTTCATGAAAATCTAACAGATCCCCTAATTTATCATCATGTGTTGCTGCCTTTAGTGCCACTATTAAGCCCCTTCTTCGCTGATTGTAGGCTAAACTACACTTAACACCTGCTTAACTGTTCCTAGTTGGCTGGAATACGTGCATAATCTAGTTGGGTGTGTGACCGGGCCAATATACAGGCATAGGCAACTCAGACCGTAGCAACTCTTAGTAGTTCCCCAAGAATAACACCCCTCCTGTTTTCAGAGGTCAAATTCATGCAAACTTCCCAGTACTGAGCTGCTACCCCCAGATAGATCTGCAAACACGGAGACGCTGGAGTTACTCACACAGATAAAACTTTGAGTCAAAGTATAATTTAACAATGGAAATGTTTTAAGAAGCCTAACCCCAGAAGCTAAAATGCTACCTATAAGAAGAAGTTTCCCCCCTACCCAATAAATACAGTGCAGAACAGGAATAAAACGGCCAGAGTCAACAGGTTAAAAGGCACCATTAAATAAACACCACAAATCAATCAACCAAATATAAGAGGTCCTTGCCTCCCTGTGCATAAAACCATTCACACACTGTTGACACCATAAAATTGACTAAATCCTATTTGGAAACAATACAATAAATAGGGAACATAATACTAGGTAACCCTCTTAACATAAAAGCAAACAAGGCAAAACGTTGCATAAGCAAAACATCACATAGGCAAAACGTTGAATAAGCAAAACATCACATAGGCAAAACGTTACATAAGGAAATCATCACATAAGCAAAACACTACATAGGCAAAACACTACATAGGCAAAACACTACATAGGCAAAGCAGTAGTGGCCATCACCCCTTGGCTCAATTATCGCTCCTGGAGAGCATGCGGCAATCTCCTAAAAACAGCCTACAACCAAAACAACCTAATTACACACGTTGCACTGTTAACAGAGCCAATGGAGAGAGATTCACGTCAGACCGGTTACGGCAGCGACCAGCACAGAAATTGCTTATCGCAACAGCATCTCCCCAGGTGTTATTTATATCCATGATTATATCCACTGGCTAATCTTAACTAATGTTATCTTCATTGGAGAGCCATAGGCATATGTTCAACCCAACCTAAACAAAATGAGTAAACAAGTTAATGTTATATCACCTAATGGATTTAAGCTTTGGAAGATGGATGGATTTAACACACTGAATATAAGTGATTTAGTGATGAGCCACAATACTGTAAACAAATATTGAATATAATTTTAAATGAACATATACTCTAACCTATTTTTGAAACAGTGTTTACAAAAGGCTGCATAGTGATCAGTTAAAATGAAGATATGAGAGTGCACTGCAGATGGTAAACAGATCCTTGTTGGTAATAAACACATCAACAGACATGAACAGACATGGGGATATGACACATTACACTATATATCAAATACCAGTGTATGTGTGTGTGTGAGGCAGGGTTTACAGTACTGCAGTGGATGGGAAGTCACTGGATGTCTCGGACTGGGGGTCATGTTGTGGCAGGAGTGGATGGGGAAGAAGAGTAGGTTGGCATAGTTACAGCATGCATATGCTGCAGTCGATTGAGTATCTGGGAGGGTGGGCCAAACAGGAGGGGACTGAAAGAGTTCCAATTCAGTGCAAGAGATAAGACCTGATTTGATGTACAACAAATTAGTGTTATGCTCATAAAAATGTTTAGCACAATACTTGTACAAGAATTTATCTAGTGGCACAGAAGTACACAGTATGAACTCACCTACTGTCAGTAGGTCAGTACTACTGAGTCAGAGCAAGACTTTTGATAGACTGGAGAGCCAGTGGTACAATATTATACTGCATTAAGGTTTTTTGCCTTTCTCTATTCAAGAATGGCCAAAATCACCTGAAATATATAGTGACTAATATATAAATATATACTATGGTTACAGATGGAAGTTTATGATGAAATGTTTTTAACAGATCTAAGTGGAGACTTAATGAATTTTAAGGTTTGTATGGGTTAAGATTCAAAGTCTTTAGCACTATGTTAAATATGAGTTCCATTTGTTAACAATTTTAGAGTGCAGGTTTTCAGATGTCCCATCCAGACATGGGTTAGAACTCATGAATTACAGAAGTTAGCATGAATGTTGATTTCATATGTTTTAAAATGAGCACTGGCTATGTTCAATATCCAGCACAAGCTCATTATTGTTGTTCTGTTTATGGTTATGGTTAACATGCAATCTGAGGAAAACCACTTGCCATTGTTAACTTCCTGTTCATGTTTCCTCAGTGTTCAATGTTGGCCAATATTTTACTTGACATACAAACATATTTATTGAGGGCTTTATCAAATTATGACACAATAAACACTGTGGTGACTTATAATGTTAATGTTGGTGATGTTTTTTCTGTTCACAGTTTCTTATAGATCTAAACCAAAAGGAAGCTATAAAGATAACTGTCTAGTGAAACAGTGCAAAGAAACCAAATGAAATTTTTTTTCTGAGAAACCAGCCCAGCTGATAAGACTAGACAATGATTTTAACTAAGAAATCATCAAAATAATCATCCTAAAATGATTTAAAACAAAAGAAAACATAATTTAACTTGAGCAGAATTTGGGAGCTTTGCCTGGCTTCATTGGTCCAAACCGTATCATCTTTTATTTGCATATATAATATGTTAAAATAAATATGAAATTGGTGATGACAAATATACAGCAGACACTAATAACAGAGATGTAAAGCATGCAAATGTGCTAGACTGACATTTCCTTGACAAGTTACACACTTTGGCTGTTAATAAGGAAGTTACAGGCGGGGCAAAGGTCTCTGTGGTTATACAAGGCCAAAAGGAGAAGCAGCTTAGTTACTTGGCAATATGAGAATGGACAAGAGACTGCAAAGGGAGGACGTAGAAAAGAATTAAAAGTCAACACCACAGGAATAAAGTTAATTAGCCCAGGATTGCAGAAATTCTTTGCCAGCCTTTAGTGTTGTTGTTTTTGTCAACAAACCAGTGGCAGTTGTGAAAATAGAACCGTGAAGTTAATCTTGGCTCAACAAAGGAATGAAGTTCATAGCGTCTGTGTAGCTTAACATGTAACAAGGATGAAGGCTTTATCTTTCAGAATCACCTCAAACCACTTGCTGATGTGTGTCTTCCTGAGTCTACTTTTGGTAAGTGTTTCTTATCTCCCGCTTTGGTCGTGATCAGATAGTGTGCCTTTACAGAGAAGAAGGTGGATCTCAACATAAAGAAACAATGCAGTCAAAACCAAAGTGAAGGTTTAACGTATGTTATGAGTCATAACTTACTTTGGTTACAATGTCTAAAGTATGTATGCAAAAAGAGACTGCTACACAATATATGAATGATGGACTTTTTCATATGGTGAAATGTTAATGAATCTGTCTCTGTGGCAGTAATCTATTTTCACTTACTTCCTCAGAGAAGCAAAAACCACATATGAGGAAATAAACTGTATCTAAAACTTAAAGGGAGCTGTATCTCAAACGTTTTATATATACAAGTTGATACTGGATACGGTTTTTCATTATACCCTATATTTATTTGAAGATATGGAATCTTAAATGTTATGAGAAACTGTAGCACACTGACGATATTTTAAGTAACTACTATGTGTGAATATCTGTATTTAACGAATGTGACTGGACAGTTGTGTCTAAAGTAATCTTTTATTAGCCTAACGTAGGTGATACAATTTACAGGCCATAATTAGCATTCAACATTCTCCGATGTTTGTTTAAGGTTTCTTACACATAAGTGGCCTAATATTTACTTATCTTGATCTGTATGTATGTTTTTGTGCTTATATGGGAAATTGTTGACTAAATACAGTAGTTAAGTACAATAGGACACCTTTAAACAGCAGTGAATATTTTTTTGAATATTATGATACTGACACAAGATAAAAGCAGAAGGTACATTGCTCTGAGATACTGAGATATGACATTACAGTTCTCTCTACTGTGCAGAGTCCATAGTTGAATTAGTTCTGTGCAATATAAACTATAAATATAATAAACGTTGATTTTTTTTTAGATTAGATAATTACCTCTGTGTTTTAGGGCGTTCCTGACTCAGCTCAAGACACAGTGTCATGTAAGTATGAGCTGCTGTCCTTCATCTTTGGTGGTTGGTGGAATCTGTGTTTTCTGTCATAGTGCAGATTGGCACGTGAAGGCCAATCATGTATGATGATTACTGGGCTACAAGTCTTACAATCAGTTCTTTTTCTATAATGAAACCAACAACTCTTTTTCTTTTCAGCATGCTTAACAGCATCTCAGCATACATATATATGAAGTGTTCATCACTTAAATAAAATTGACTGTTGGAGATGAAATAATGGAATTAAACTTTGAGTTAAGAAGATCACACAAAACACATTATAGAGGTAAAAGCAGTCGCCTTCTTTGCTCTAATGAAACTGCAAACTCTTTCTTTTCAGCTCCTAAAAATGTTAAGGACTTAAAGGCTTTGACGCAAAATGAGACCAGTATAACTCTGCAGTGGTCAAAAGTAGAGAACATCAGCTACTATATCCTTGTGGTCAATGAAACAAAGATAAACGTCACATCAGCTCAAGTGACCTACACAGTCACAAACCTCGCAAGTGGGACTAAATACAACTTCACTGTCTTCACTGTGTTAGGAAATGTCAGAAGCAGTGGAGCAAATGTCAATGCATTCACAGGTAAGTTATATTTCCTCTTATATAACCATCTAACAAGGACCAGGACAAAGCTCTGTCTTCTCCACCTCTACCCATTTTGGGGGTGATCGCCACAGCAGATCACTACTATCCACATTTAGCACAGGTTTTACACCAGATGAGGACAGAACTCTGTGACATATCTAATGTAAGGTTTCTTAGTAACACATGGGTGTTGCTCACTTAATAAAATTGACTGTTGAAGATGAAATAATGGAATTAAACATTTTGAGTTAAGAAGACCACACAAAACACATTATAGAGGTGCCAGCAGTCGACTCCTTTGCTCTAATGAAACTGCCCACTCTTTCTTTTCAGCTCCTGAAAATGTTAAGTACTTAAAGGTTTTGACACAAAGTGAGACCAGTATAACTCTGCAGTGGTCAAAAGTAGAGAACATCAGCTACTATATCCTTGCATTCAGTGGAAAAGAGATAAACGTCACATCAGCGGGCCCTCAAGTGAACTATACAGTCACAAACCTCACAAGTGGGACTAAATACAACTTCACTGTCTACACTGTGTTAGGAGATGTCAGAAGCAGTGGAGAAAGCATCACTACATTCACAGGTAAGTTATATTTCCTCTTATATAACCATCTAACAAGGACCAGGACAAAGCTCTGTCTTCTCCACCTCTACCCATTTTGGGGGTGATCGCCACAGCAGATCACTACTATCCACATTTAGCACAGGTTTTACACCAGATGAGGACAGAACTCTGTGACATACCTAATGTAAGGTTTCTTAGTAACACATGGGTGTTGCTCACTTAATAAAATTGACTGTTGAAGATGAAATAATGGAATTAAACATTTTGAGTTAAGAAGACCACACAAAACACTTTATAGAGGTGCCAGCAGTCGACTCCTTTGCTCTAATGAAACTGCCCACTCTTCCTTTTCAGCTCCTGAAAATGTTAAGTACTTAAAGGTTTTGACACAAAGTGAGACCAGTGTAACTCTGCAGTGGTCAAAAGTAAGCAACATCAGCAACTATATCCTTGCATTCAGTGCAAAAGAGATAAACGTCACATCAGCGGGCCCTCAAGTGAACTATACAGTCACAAACCTCACAAGTGGGACTAAATACAACTTCACTGTCTTCACTGTGTTAGGAAATGTCAGAAGCAGTGGAGCAAATGTCAATGCATTCACAGGTAAATTATATTTCCTCTTATATAACCATCTAACAAGGACCAGGACAAAGCTCTGTCTTCACCACCTCTACCCATTTTGGGGGTGATCGCCACAGTAGATCACTACTATCCACATTTAGCACAGGTTTTACACCAGATGAGGACAGAACTCTGTGACATACCTAATGTAAGGTTTCTGAGTAACACATGGGTGTTGCTCACTTAATAAAATGAAACTGCAAACTTTTTTTTTCAGCTCCTGAAAATGTTAAGGACTTAAAGGCTTTGACGCAAAATGAGACCAGTATAACTCTGCAGTGGTCAGAAGTAGAGAACATCAGCTACTATATCCTTGCATTCAGTGCAAAAGAGATAAACGTCACATCAGCGGGCCCTCAAGTGAACTATACAGTCACAAACCTCACAAGTGGGACTAAATACAACTTCACTGTCTTCACTGTGTTAGGAAATGTCAGAAGCAGTGGAGCAAATGTCAATGCATTCACAGGTAAATTATATTTCCTCTTATATAACCATCTAACAAGGACCAGGACAAAGCTCTGTCTTCACCACCTCTACCCATTTTGGGGGTGATCGCCACAGTAGATCACTACTATCCACATTTAGCACAGGTTTTACACCAGATGAGGACAGAACTCTGTGACATACCTAATGTAAGGTTTCTGAGTAACACATGGGTGTTGCTCACTTAATAAAATGAAACTGCAAACTTTTTTTTTCAGCTCCTGAAAATGTTAAGGACTTAAAGGCTTTGACGCAAAATGAGACCAGTATAACTCTGCAGTGGTCAGAAGTAGAGAACATCAGCTACTATATCCTTGCATTCAGTGCAAAAGAGATAAACGTCACATCAGCGGGCCCTCAAGTGAACTATACAGTCACAAACCTCACAAGTGGGACTAAATACAACTTCACTGTCTTCACTGTGTTAGGAAATGTCAGAAGCAGTGGAGCAAATGTCAATGCATTCACAGGTAAATTATATTTCCTCTTATATAACCATCTAACAAGGACCAGGACAAAGCTCTGTCTTCACCACCTCTACCCATTTTGGGGGTGATCGCCACAGTAGATCACTACTATCCACATTTAGCACAGGTTTTACACCAGATGAGGACAGAACTCTGTGACATACCTAATGTAAGGTTTCTGAGTAACACATGGGTGTTGCTCACTTAATAAAATGAAACTGCAAACTTTTTTTTTCAGCTCCTGAAAATGTTAAGGACTTAAAGGCTTTGACGCAAAATGAGACCAGTATAACTCTGCAGTGGTCAGAAGTAGAGAACATCAGCTACTATATCCTTGCATTCAGTGCAAAAGAGATAAACGTCACATCAGCGGGCCCTCAAGTGAACTATACAGTCACAAACCTCACAAGTGGGACTAAATACAACTTCACTGTCTTCACTGTGTTAGGAAATGTCAGAAGCAGTGGAGCAAATGTCAATGCATTCACAGGTAAATTATATTTCCTCTTATATAACCATCTAACAAGGACCAGGACAAAGCTCTGTCTTCACCACCTCTACCCATTTTGGGGGTGATCGCCACAGTAGATCACTACTATCCACATTTAGCACAGGTTTTACACCAGATGAGGACAGAACTCTGTGACATACCTAATGTAAGGTTTCTGAGTAACACATGGGTGTTGCTCACTTAATAAAATGAAACTGCAAACTTTTTTTTTCAGCTCCTGAAAATGTTAAGGACTTAAAGGCTTTGACGCAAAATGAGACCAGTATAACTCTGCAGTGGTCAGAAGTAGAGAACATCAGCTACTATATCCTTGCATTCAGTGCAAAAGAGATAAACGTCACATCAGCGGGCCCTCAAGTGAACTATACAGTCACAAACCTCACAAGTGGGACTAAATACAACTTCACTGTCTTCACTGTGTTAGGAAATGTCAGAAGCAGTGGAGCAAATGTCAATGCATTCACAGGTAAATTATATTTCCTCTTATATAACCATCTAACAAGGACCAGGACAAAGCTCTGTCTTCACCACCTCTACCCATTTTGGGGGTGATCGCCACAGTAGATCACTACTATCCACATTTAGCACAGGTTTTACACCAGATGAGGACAGAACTCTGTGACATACCTAATGTAAGGTTTCTGAGTAACACATGGGTGTTGCTCACTTAATAAAATGAAACTGCAAACTTTTTTTTTCAGCTCCTGAAAATGTTAAGGACTTAAAGGCTTTGACGCAAAATGAGACCAGTATAACTCTGCAGTGGTCAGAAGTAGAGAACATCAGCTACTATATCCTTGCATTCAGTGCAAAAGAGATAAACGTCACATCAGCGGGCCCTCAAGTGAACTATACAGTCACAAACCTCACAAGTGGGACTAAATACAACTTCACTGTCTTCACTGTGTTAGGAAATGTCAGAAGCAGTGGAGCAAATGTCAATGCATTCACAGGTAAATTATATTTCCTCTTATATAACCATCTAACAAGGACCAGGACAAAGCTCTGTCTTCACCACCTCTACCCATTTTGGGGGTGATCGCCACAGTAGATCACTACTATCCACATTTAGCACAGGTTTTACACCAGATGAGGACAGAACTCTGTGACATACCTAATGTAAGGTTTCTGAGTAACACATGGGTGTTGCTCACTTAATAAAATGAAACTGCAAACTTTTTTTTTCAGCTCCTGAAAATGTTAAGGACTTAAAGGCTTTGACGCAAAATGAGACCAGTATAACTCTGCAGTGGTCAGAAGTAGAGAACATCAGCTACTATATCCTTGCATTCAGTGCAAAAGAGATAAACGTCACATCAGCGGGCCCTCAAGTGAACTATACAGTCACAAACCTCACAAGTGGGACTAAATACAACTTCACTGTCTTCACTGTGTTAGGAAATGTCAGAAGCAGTGGAGCAAATGTCAATGCATTCACAGGTAAATTATATTTCCTCTTATATAACCATCTAACAAGGACCAGGACAAAGCTCTGTCTTCACCACCTCTACCCATTTTGGGGGTGATCGCCACAGTAGATCACTACTATCCACATTTAGCACAGGTTTTACACCAGATGAGGACAGAACTCTGTGACATACCTAATGTAAGGTTTCTGAGTAACACATGGGTGTTGCTCACTTAATAAAATGAAACTGCAAACTTTTTTTTTCAGCTCCTGAAAATGTTAAGGACTTAAAGGCTTTGACGCAAAATGAGACCAGTATAACTCTGCAGTGGTCAGAAGTAGAGAACATCAGCTACTATATCCTTGCATTCAGTGCAAAAGAGATAAACGTCACATCAGCGGGCCCTCAAGTGAACTATACAGTCACAAACCTCACAAGTGGGACTAAATACAACTTCACTGTCTTCACTGTGTTAGGAAATGTCAGAAGCAGTGGAGCAAATGTCAATGCATTCACAGGTAAATTATATTTCCTCTTATATAACCATCTAACAAGGACCAGGACAAAGCTCTGTCTTCACCACCTCTACCCATTTTGGGGGTGATCGCCACAGTAGATCACTACTATCCACATTTAGCACAGGTTTTACACCAGATGAGGACAGAACTCTGTGACATACCTAATGTAAGGTTTCTGAGTAACACATGGGTGTTGCTCACTTAATAAAATGAAACTGCAAACTTTTTTTTTCAGCTCCTGAAAATGTTAAGGACTTAAAGGTTTTGACACAAAATGAGACCAGTATAACTCTGCAGTGGAACAAGGTTAACATGTCAACATACCTCCTACAATATGATTTCAATGGCAGTAACAGAGTGACGAATATCAGTACATCTTCTGAAAACACATCAGTACAACATGTGGTCTCTCCGCTGACGGCTGGGAAACAATATAATTTCATGGTCATTACTGTGTTTAAGGAAGTCAACAGCACTGGAGACAGCATTTTGGCAGAGACGGGTAAATGATCTCTGAATATTCAGTTTAGATGTTTTACTTGTGATAGCAAATAATCAGACAAATTGTGCATTTAATTGGCCCATCATAAAATGAAATTTTTGGTAGCCATGTACTTTACAGTAGGATATACAGTAGATGTCTGTTTACATTCTGGTCTTGTCATAAATAAGGTAAGAAACATGATTTAAGTCTAAGGAACATGTCAAACCTATTCATTTGATCAATATTTTTTGTGTGTAAGTTACACTACAAACCCTGCTTTGTGGTGAGTAAAAGCTTTCTTTCCTTTCATCAGTTCCAACAAAGGTGCCCTTGGTCAACGTGACAGAACGTTCTTTGACCAGCATAACTCTGGAGTGGGAGAATGTGGATAAAGGCTGGAGCTACGCGCTTCAAATTAATGACAGTGATAAAGTAGTTATCAAAGATGAATCTTCATATATTGTGTCACATTCAGTCACATCTCTCCAGCCTGGAACAGCATACAAATTCAGTGTGATCACAATGTTTCATAAACACAACAGTACTGCTTATGAAGGCCTCACAGTAACAGGTATATACAGGCCTCCTCTTTGTCAAGCTCTTAAAATCTGATCACATTTTGTTCCACGTGTACATTTACAAAGGGCCCACAAGTCCTGGTTCTGTAAAATTTGAGTTAGCATTTTATAAGTGAAATAAGTGCTAACTTGTCTGCACATATTTTCTCATTCCTTTCAGCCATTGACTGTACCAGTGTAACATGGCATGTTACTAACTCATCAATCCAAGGAATGGTTGAAGGCTTGTTCTCAAATGCAACTGCATCTAATGTATCGCAAACCCACGTCAGTCCCGGGGGAAGAAACGTGTCCTTTACTGGCCTTTACCCTGGTGCAACCTATGAGGTGTCTCTTGTCTATGAAAGATATGAACAGTGCCGCCACAGTCTAACTATCTGTAAGTACAAATCTGTCTTACCACTTGAGCATTATTTAATATTTATCTGCATTTCCCAGAGAAATGCAAAGTGCTACCATGATATTTATTAGTATACTCTATAGACAAACACCTTTTATTCACATGATAGTGCTATTTGAAATAGCTCTGTGTAGTACTCAGTATATGGACTGCAGCTAATGATTTAGTTTGTATTATCATTTGATTTATTGATTATTTTGTTGTAAAACATAGGGACCACACACACACACACACACACACACACACACACGTACCTACTCAGAGTCCAGTGGGTTGTCTTTTTTCTGACCACCGGTAAAGAATTGAAGTATATTCATTGTATCCAACATGTAAGAGAAAAACAGCAAACTCTTCCTGTAGTAAAGGAAGATTGACTAGCAATTAATCAATAATCATTGTGGTTTTAAAATTTATTTTCTATGGATTAACTGTTTAAATTACTGTAATCACTTTCAACACAATACATTATGTGTCTTAATTCTGTCATGATGGGCTATTTCCTTTTAAGTGGGAACAGAAAACAGATTTTTATGTCTACAGTTCAGAAATGCACATACCTGTGTTTTTTTAAAACAAGTTATATATACACTGTCTTGTTTGGTGGTGTTGTTTTTTATGATTGTGAAGGGACATTTCCACTTGTTTTACTCAGCCCCTCCAGATTTACAAGCTCGCTGTGACTACATGGCATCTGGCTATTCTGTCCTCATCGTCTGGAATAAACCAGATGGTGTGTGGACTGAGATAGAGGTGAATGTGACTGGGAAGACTTATACAGTATCTGAAAAAGGGGAACAGCAAATCAGCATATCTGGATTTCTACCTGCCAAAACGTATGAAGTGTCTATAGGTTCACTGTCTGGGACTGTAAGGAGTTATGAACCTTATGTTTTTTCCTGTTCTACTGATCCAAGGGGTGAGTTTGAAATGAACATATTACTCTGTGGAAATTCTATATCAGTGTGTTTCCTGATGTTAAATTGTAACAATATATTTTCATCATTATGTCCTGTTTGGCATTGCTTATGACTTGCTTTTTTGGTTTTGGTTCTTTGAATTGCTACGTTTCCCCCCCTACATTACAAAATTCACCCTCATGGGAAAGTAAAGATCATGTGTGTTAGGGAAACGCTCGACACAAGGGTGAGCGAGCGGAGAAAACAGCAGACCCAGGCGGCTGGCTTCGGTGCAAGCAAAGATTTATTTACAGTGTTTAAGTAGTGCATCAATATATACAAAGTGAAGTGGTGAATATAACCGGGTGTCGACCAGCAGTAGCAGGAGTTATGGTACGTGGAGTGATGATGGACCGGGCTGCAGGGGTAGGAATCACTCCTGGGCTGGTCGGGCAGGAGATCCGGTTGACTGAGGAGGTAATAGGAGAGATACAGTTAAATTGGAGACTGTGCATCGACCTGTGATGGTGGTGGCTGGTGGAGCTGAGGGTGCCAGGATCCAGAGGAGAGGTCCAAACGTAGAAGGAAGCAGTGAACACACAAACATACGTAGAATAACGGAATAAACAAGAAAGAGCGATAACCCTAGGGAGGTCTGACAACCTAGAAGGAACTAGCAGGGGAGTGATGGGTGAGCAAAGTATAAATGAGGAGTGAGACAAAGAGGTGCAGCTGATGAGTGTCAGAAAATCAGGGCAGGTGTGTCTAATCAAATAATCAGTGTGAGGGAGCTGACTAGGGGGAGAGAAGATAAGAAAGGAAGGTGCAGCCAGGCAAACCTGACAATGTGACGGTGATACACAAGAGACAAGGCACTCTTCTTCTATACTGAGTATGTGCTGTATGTTTCAAAGCATTTCATCCAGATTTTGCACCCATGCAGGAGTCATTGCCGGGTCAGTACTTGCTGTGCTGCTTTTTGGATTCCTGGTCTGTGTGGCTGTCTTCATTTGGCTTAAAAGGTCATCTTTATTCAGGTTGGTGATAGTTATATTATCCCCCTGAAATGTACTCTGTCAGATTCAACCAGTTAAACTCTTTGCTTCTTTCCCACAACAGAAAAAATCCATTAATTGGTGGATCAGAGCAATCCAGTAAAAAGCACAAGTAAGTAAATGTTTCATGGTCTCTTTTCATAAAGGTGACACCTTTTGTCAGTCCCCTGAACTGTAGTAAAAAGGGTTAATTGGTTCTTTTGTGATGAGAGACATCTGGGAGACAGTTAGTAGTTTACCACATGTAAAGAATATACTAGCTTTGTTCTTCATCTCAGTTGCCTTTACATATCATTAAGTATATAATGTGACATGCATTCTGTTTTTGTTGTGTTTTTCTTTTCAGTGCTATTTCTATTATAACGTTTTCAGACCACTTCTTCCAGTTAAATGCAGATGAAGGCAGAGGCTTCAGCCTAGAATATGAGGTGCATAGAAAAGTTACATTTCATTCTACCCTTTTTCTTGTTTTTGCATTGTAAAATTGTGTCTGGTTGGATAATTGTGGCACTGTTAAATATGTTTTCCACCGACCTTTGTCTGAATGACATGTCATGCTATCTGTCAACTTTGATACAGAGCCTTGCTTCTGTTGGCACGGACCAGACACGAAAAGCAGCTCTTCTACCTGAAAACAAGGAAAAGAATCGTTTTACCAATGTTCTGCCATGTAAGCCTGTTCTCAGCTCAAATGGTCCAGATCATATGGCTATTTTAAGCAGTGCCTACTTTATTGTTCATTGCAGTTAAACGATCTTGTATCGTTTCATTCTAGATGACTGGTGTCGAGTGAAGCTAGCTACATCAAATCCTAATGAGACATCTGACTACATTAATGCCAGTTACATGCCAGTAGGTATTACTTTATAAGTGACAAGCATTTAACAGAGCTCTTTTTGTAGTTCAAGTACACCGCTATAAAATAAGCTTACAAAAATCTTGACTGCAACTCAAAAAGGCTGTTTGGTAAGACAGGTTTGATAAACTTGATAAACTCTGTAGTGAAGTTGCTGTAGTTTCAAGTACAGTAAATGGCTGGTAAAACATCCGCTTGTGCACATTCATTTAAACTTCTTCAATTTATGCTAGACTTCATGAGCATAATGTGGTTCTTTATTTCATACTGAACAATGAAGGAGATATAAAAGCCAGTGAGGTGTACATATTAACTTTGACTACTGATTCTCAGGGCTTCAACAGCAACACAGAGTATATTGCCACTCAGGGTCCACTGCCCTCTACAGTCAATGATTTCTGGAGGATGATTTGGGAACAAAGAGTGAACTGCATCGTTATGGTGACCAACTGCACTGAAGGTGGACGGGTGAGTGTTCAGGAAAATCTGAGATTGTTTTATTACTAGATTTTAGAGGAAGTGCAAACCTAAACTGTGCTGTTGTGAATAATTTGCTAGTGTACATTCTGTCAACTGGTGGCAATTTATATGCCCTGTGATCACACAGTGTTTTTCAAAGTAGCTCTGAAAGTTTTTTTTTAGTCTCAACAAAGAACATACTACTCTAGGATTGTTGTTTGATACCACTCTGTGGTCTACTGCTAAAACCACATTAAAACAACATCATGACCTAGTTTTATTTCTCATTTTTTATGTTTCATTTTCCTAGATCAAGTGTGAACAGTACTGGCCTGTAGGAAGAAAGCCTTGTGTTCATGGAGAGCTGTTGGTCACCACCACATCGGAGCAAAAGGAGCGTAACTGGACACAAAGGGAATTCAGTGTGGAAAACGTACTGAACATTTTAAAATACTTATGGTCTATCTGAATTGTCCATACATATTCTCAGTCATCCAGGTCGTAGTATGCTGAAAAAAATCATCTGGACTTGGTTTTAGGTAGAAGATGTTTCACCTCTCATCCTAGAAGCTTCATCAGTTCTGTCCAACTGGTGTTGAGCAGGAGGTATTTATCCCCCTGGGTGGTGTTTCAGTCCTTCCACGGCCCCGCAACATATCAGTCGTTAGGGGACATTGTTGGCCGTCAGAGGACTGAAACACCACCCAGGGGGATAAATACCCCCTGCTTAACACCAGTTGGACAGAACTGATGAAGCCTCTTGGATGAGAGGTGAAACACCTTCTACCTAAAACCAAGTCCAGATGATTTTTTTTTGTTATTTTCAGAATCTATCTGAATTGTTTAAGCATTAACATATGGCCAAGTCAGAAAATTGTGTCTTAACTGAGACAGAGCACTGTCATTTATAAAAATGTTTTTATGTATTTTACTGTTGATATCACAAGAAAACCATGTTTGACTACACACATTTTCTTTGGCCAACCATTTTATTAGACATAGACTTACAGTGTTTGAATCTTCTTCAGAGAAACACTTCACAAGAGCGCACAGTGAAACATTTCCACTTCACTGCCTGGCCTGACCATGGAGTCCCAGGAGGTACAGAAGACTTGATCCAGTTCAGAGAACTGGTGAGACAACACATAGACAGAGAAGGTGCCAAGGCACCCACTGTGGTTCACTGCAGGTACAGTATACATTCTTCTGTTAAGCCTGGAGAATAATATACACTATATGGACAAAAGTATTGGGACACCTGACTATTACACCATCAGGGACTTTAATGGCTTTGCCTTCAATATGGAGTTGGTCCCCCCTTTGCAGCTATACTAGCTTCTACTCTTCTTGGAAGGCTTTCCATGAGATTTTGGGGTGTTTCTGTGGGAATTTGTACCTATTCATTCTGTAGAACATTTATGAGGTCAGGCACTGATGGATGAGACCTGGCTCGCAATCTCCATTCCAGTTCATCCCAAAGGTGTTCGATGGGGTTGAGGTCAGAGCTCTGTGTGGCCTAGTCAAGTTCTTCCATACCAAACTGATCAAATCTGACCATGTCTTTATGGACCTTGCTTTGCGCACTGGGGCACAGCCATGCTGGAATAGAAGAGGGCTTTCCCCAAACTGTTTCCACAAAGGTGGAAGCAATGTCTTGGTGTGCTGAAGCATTAAGATTGCCCTTCACTACAGTAGACGTAAGGAGCCTAGCCCAAACCCTGAAAAACAGCCCCATCCCATTTTCCCTCCTCTACCAAACTTCACAGTTGCCACAGTGCAGTCAGGCAGGTAGTGTTCTCCCAGCCTCTGCCAAACCCATGACAGGCCCATTTGACTGCCAAACAGAGAAGTGTGATTCGTCGCTCCACAGAACACGTTTCCACAGTCCATAGTTTTTGTTTACATTAATGCCGGAGGAAGTTCAGAACTCTTCAGCAGAGCATTGGTGGCTTTTACGGACCATGCGCCTTAGCATTTTATATACCCGTGGCAATGGGTCTGATTGAAACACCTCAATTCAATAATCAAGAGGTGTGTCCCACTGCTTTTGTCCATATAGTTTATGATGTGTTGAGCATTTTTATATGACAGCCACTTTAGAAAAAATGAGACAAAGGTCAAAGACAAGGGCACAGAAGTTGGGTTAACATGAATATCTAACAATTTGTGACATACATGCATATAAATTTTACATAACATGCCAGCCTTTTATAATGTTTACTGACATAGTTTTCACTGAGAAGGTTCTTAGGTGTAAGAAAAATGTTTCAAGAGCAGTAGTGGGTAACTTCTATCCAAAATAAAAAATCTACTTTATAACCATCAGGATACCTCACAATGGCCATTATACCTGAGGACTAAGAACTTGCCTTTTGCTGTGTTCTCTCTGTCAGTGCTGGAGTGGGGAGGACAGGTACTATCATTGCACTGGATGTGCTGCTTCAACAGTTTGTGAAAAAAAGAGCAGTGGGCATCTATGCTTTTGTGAAAAAGATGAGACTAAATCGCCCATACATGGTGCAGACGGAGGTAAAACTGATCCTGTTATGTTACTTCACTAAAAGCTATCTCTCCCAAAGTTTGGTACCCATTTATTTCTTTGAGAACAGGTCAGGTCTGGTTAAGTTTAACACACCTCATACCATGGAACATTTCCATGTAGTTGCACAGTTCTATCCTCTAAAAATATGAGTGAAAATGAATTCTCTGTTGTCCCATTTAAACTTTCACTACAAGTCTGCCTGAATATTTACCAAAAATAGACACTAAAATAGATTGTGTGATGGTTGTTGTTTCAAGATCTCAGTAATCTATAAAAATATATATTTGAATGATATGAAATGTTAATATGAAATCAGCAGTATATTGCACTGGGGCCATGGATTGAATTGTTTCAATGTAAGGGCTACACCTTAAGATACAATATGCTATGTAATACTTTTGTGTATGAACTATCACTCACAGTAATATAAGCCTGACTGCACCACTGTTCACTGTATACACACATTTACATTCTTTGTTGTGCTGAATTGTAATCAGTGCAAACACAAAACTTACTCCTACATTACTGTGAAAACTCTTGAGACTGGTAAACATCTACAGTATGCATGAATGCATTTAATCCTTTCTGTGGCAATTCCGCACATGTGAAAATGTCAACCAGAATACAGTGTGTATTGTATATACAGTGAGCGTTCTGCACAAAAGTTTTGTTTTTCCAAACGACCAGTAACTCTGGTTTATTTCTTTTCAGTCCCAGTATGTTTTCCTGCACCAGTGCATCATGGACTTTCTGCAGCCAGATGAGACTGAAGAGAACATATATGAGAATGCAGAGATGATATATGAGAATGCAGACATGATATATGCCAATGCAACTGCACTCCGGCAGCTTCATTAACAAGACAAAAGCCTTAACATGGTCAGCCCTGTCAACCTGGCCTTGTCTTATATGTCCTTAATGTCAAACTAATTCTAAAGTCTACATTGTATCCTTTGTTATAAACTGTAAATATGATAAAGAAGTAGGTTTTTTACATGCATAGCACACTTTAGACTTTAACTTTTTATTTGTTGTTCCTCTCATTTGGTAAATGTGTATTATTATTATCATTATTATGTAAGGGTACAACACTCCAGATGATGGCAGAATGTTTACAGATTAGATTTATTAAAGATGAAATGTAGGTAGAAAAGAATTTCATATTGTGCAAGAAAGAAACCATTTTAAACTAACAAATACACCTGAACGTGTTTTTTACTAAGCCTGTACTTTTCTGTGTTAGTGTCAAAAACTGCATTTCCACTGTCAGAGCCTAACTAGACATACATCCCGTGCTTCGTTTAATCGTCACCTGGCATAAATTCACGGGTTGATGTGGACCCTCTTGCTTTGTTTTCCCACTGTAATGTGTTAAGTATATAGTGACTTCATTGAAGACACCTTTGCAGCTTTATCCTCTGTCTCTAATCACCTCAACATCTGCAATAAAATTTATCAAAATTCTAACAATATGAACAGCAATCTTCATGAGCAAGCTCTGTGTGCACCCACCCCCCTTCCCGTTGTTCTTGGAACTTGATTTCAGTACTACATCCTGAGGGGTGCCAAAACGCAGCTTCTAATTGGGTAGAGAGCAGTGGAAACAAATGTAGAACCAATGATGAGCGTTATACGGCTCAACATGTTTTGGTAGGTTCTTATTATGAAAACCCCCCCAACACTGAATGGCAACAGAACAGCAGCCTTAAACTGAGGACTTCTTTTTAAGGAGGGTTTGTCCCTAATGTGGCAGTATGTTCACGCTTTCTCCTCTGCGTTGTTACCTATAGAGTCCTGGCTGCAGGAGACAACTGAGAAGATTTCCTCAATGAGGTTCTGCCTTGCATTTAGGGCCTCGAGGTTGATCTCTGCTGGCACTGAATATGGCTTGCCTGGATACAGGGGCTCAATTTTACCAGCTACAGGCGGGGGAGGGACAGAGAACTTCTTGGCAATGTTGTGCAAGACACTGCATGCCTTGATGATGTCAGACTTTTTGTTCAGAGAGTTTTCCTGTGCAAAACCAAGTTGCATCAGACACCTGAAGCGTCTCTTCATGGAGCCAAGCGTTATCCGCATGATGTCATAGATCTTTGCGTGGGCCTCATTGAAGCGTTTCTCCATGTCATTTGCAGGTTCTGACACAGGAGTCAAGACATGTTTGCTTAAGCTGTAACCTTTCCCACCTTTAGGAAAGACACACAACAATGGAATTAATACAGCATCAGAGAAACAAGGCAGTTACTGTTATTTCTATAAAATGTAGTTTTTTTCATAATGCAGATGAAATACAGAAACAGCTGCATGTTTAATGTGTAAAGTTTTTTCATACATATTTATAGACTCGGGTTTAATAGAATATTGTGTGTGTTAGTGGACTATATGAAATTAAGTAAAAACAGAAAATAGCACAGGATAAGCGTCACTTTGCACAGACAGAAGAATGCATTCCAAACAGCAGCTCACAGTTCTTTGTGCATATGATCAGATGGGTCTCTCCTTGTTTTATTTCTTACCAATAACCCAATATGGTCCGTGAAGTTCTGTCTCTAGTTCCCTTCCCTTGAACGACGAGTCCCATATTTCTTGCTCAAATGTGCTGCCCACACAACATTTTTCAACACTCAGTATGTTGCCATCGGAGTCGCATATGATCTGGCTCACGACCGATGTGTAACTCAAGGTGTTGACAAAAGATCTGAAAGAGTTCTTCTCATACGGAGAAGCTCTGATCTTGAAGTGCGCGGGGGCCAGGACGCCGAGCACACGGGGGATCCCGCAGATCTTCTTTATCTTGAAGGCGACGTTGGCTTTGGCATCCCGGGTAAATGGGAATGAGATGAACTGATCGGCCATCCCGGAGATAACACCGGACACTGTTCTGATGATCGCTGGACTTTCCGTCTGGCTGAGTCCGAATTTCTGCAGAAGGGCAGTGGAGGAAACTCCATGTGCGTAATAGTTCAGCGCCACCATGACCATCGCGTCCACGGACAGCGTTGATTTGTCCACATCGACTGCCTTCATGCGGATGCGAGCAGAGTCTGTGATGAAAGTGAGGCAGGGTCTGGTGAGGTGGAACATCTGGAACAACGCTTCGTCGTCGAAATCGTCAAAACAGCTCAGAGTGCCGTAGTCAGCCTCGCCATTTTCGAGGAGCTCTCCTTGGACCGCAAGCCACACTGGCAGGGAGAAGGCCATCAGTCTACTACTGACTATATTTATACACACGTGTGACTTTAGCAGCAAACCCAACAGCGCTTACAGGATGAACAACCACTGATAAATCATACACACATTCATGCACAAACAGGAGTCTCATGCTAGAGTGGTCTTCTTCTTTAATGCTTAGGGAGACCGCAGAACAGTGCGTTATCGCCACCTAGTGGCCGGGGATGAAAACCACGAACAATTTTAGGCAGCTTTATTTAAATGATGTAAATAAAACGGGAGAAAGCTTAAATGATTTTATTGGAAAGTCGGGTGAAACTGTGAATCACATTGCAAATACATGAAACCCCTTCATAACTGCAATATGTTTGTGCTTTACAGATGACTGTGATGATGTTCATCAAACCTTTTTTGTTGGAAGCTCTCTATCACCTCAACCCGCTCTGCCACAAACCTTAAAGCACAACTCCAGCTGGTTTACTTTTTCATTCAGAAATTAAGACAGTCCCTAAAATCTGATATTCCATAACTTTACAATCCACATTTCTTTGTGGTTTTTATTATTTATGCAGAGAGAACTCCAGTCAGGCTAGTAAAAAATGCTTATTTTCTCTTTTAATTTGAGAGAAAACTGCTTATCAGATTTAGAGTGTATGGAATAGTGTATCTATAAACCACCTCAATGGAATTAACATAATATAAACTCCCATTGTGATTTTGACCAATCAGACAGGTGTATTTTACAATAAATAAAGTAATCTTACCAAGTACAGGTGTGAAAGCATACAAAGTAAATTCATTCAATATACCTTTGCATTGTTCCTGGACAAATAATTAAAGTAAAATCAATCTTTTCTACAGATAATGTGAACAGTGTTATCACAATGAATACCCAGCAGCTTTAGCTCCTGCCAAAATCTGTTTCTGTTTGTGATAGCTTGGCTGACAAATAGAACATTTTGTTGGCTTCACTAATGGAAACATCTTTCAGTCTGGGTATTCCACCTTTGTTCCAGCCTTCTGTACTCTGGCCTTGAGCGTACAAATCTGTGACAGAAAGGAAGACAGCCAAGGGTGTGAGGGTCTGAAAGTTCACAACTCCATGAGTAAATCCTCCTCCCATTTGTTTTCTCTTGTTGGAAGGCACAGTAACAAAGATTAAGTGTATTATGTATATTTGTATTAGATTACAATTGATGATATCTTGAGCTTTTAAAATGCCCTTTCTATTACTATTCAGAAATGTCTTGGATATTTATTTAGTTCTTCTTACTTCTTATTAGTTTTAACAGAAATAACTATTGTACTATTGTACCATGGAAGCCAAGCATGGCAGTGGAATTAATATTGGTAGCCAGTCTTATTTTAATGTAAAAGTGTAATGTTGCCTTGTCACCTAACCAGCAGGTCACAGTTAACATATCCTCACCTGTGATGTTGTCCACAGAGTCAAGTGGAGCTGTGTTGTTCATGTTCACTCCAAACAGTAGCGCCACAAATATCATTAATGCAACCAGGAGATACATTGGCACCGCAAGAGTCCAGTATCTACACGAGAAAAAAATGTTTCACCTAATGGAAGGTAAAACTTCTAATGTGGTATATATATTTCCACAGTTTCATTTAAGAGTTGAGAGGGAACATGTTACTAGATAACTACTCTCTGATAAGGATGTTTTCAACTTACTTTTGAGGCCAATAAGTGAGCCCTATTGAATGGAGCCACTCCTCTGGTATGTAAGCCCACAAACAATACAGAACTGTGGAGAGAAGACAGGAGAGTCATGTTGTTGATATGGTAGACAGTTTTATCCCCTGAATACCAATTCACAGTGTTTAGATACTCATAAATTAAGGATTGGACACACACTGCCATTGTTAGTGTGCACATTTAATCACTGTGACCTGACAGTGAGTGTGGTGAGTAAACTTATTTGTTTTGTATTTGTTGAAAAATAAAGATATGTGTAATATGTAATGCTACACAGTACAAGTGGGTTAAGTTATGACCTGGAAAGTAAAATCTAATGAAATTGTTTTGATGTTTTGTGTCGTTACACCGTGTGTAAATGGATATGTATAAACATGCTATTCAGTTCATTTGATGTCTCTGCTGGGGTTTTTTTTTTAACCTGGAATCAGGCATGTTTAATACATTTATACATTTAATGCAAACCCTTCTATTCTCCTCATGAATTTTCAAGCTTCATCCTGGTGGGGGCCTATTTAAAGTCGCAGGCCCACACTAGCGCACTACAGCTCCTGGCAGAAAAGATAACTAGCATGGAGCTAGAACATCCCGACTCTCCACTCATTGTTCTAGGGGACTTTAACGGGGCAAATCTCTCCCACAAACTGCCAAAATACTGAGAGCATGTTACCTGTCCCACCAGGGACAAAATTACACTGGACCAAACTTAAAGCTGCAAAGCCTGTAATCAAAATAGTGAAGAGCTGGACCGAGGAGGCTAAGTCAGAGCTACAGGCCTGCTTTGACTGCACAGACTGGAGTGTATTTGAGACTGCAGCTACAGACCTGGATGAACTCACTGACACTGTCACATCTTATATCAGCTTTTGTGAGGATGAATGCGTTCTACTGCAGGTTTGACAATCAACACTCCCCCCTCACCCTCCCCACCTCAGAACCAGCAGCTGCTCCCCTGAAAATCACCACCCTTCCCTCCAGCCCCCCACCTCTAACAATCTGTGAAAAGGATGTGCATGGCCTCTATAAAAAAACAAAGGATCAGAAAGGCACTGGGCCCAGATGGCGTTTGCTGATGATACAACAGTCATTGGTCTCATCCGAGACGGCGACGAGTCAGCCTACAGACGGGAGGTTGAGCAGCTGGTCCTGTGGTGTAGCCGCAACAACCTGGAGCTAAACATGCTCCACCATCTCCCTGAAGTGGATGTCCAACATCAGGACCATCATCAAGAAGGCACAGCAGAGGATGTACTTCCTGTGCCAGCTCAGGAAGTTTGACCTGCCTCCGGAGCTGCTGATACAGTTCTACAGAGGAATCATCGAGTCTGTTCTCTGCCCCTCCATCACTCTCCGGTTTCGCCCCAGCTCAGGAAGTTTGACCTGCCTCCGGAGCTGCTGATACAGTTCTACAGAGGAATCATCGAGTCTGTTCTCTGCACCTCCATCACTGTCTGGTTTGGCCCAGCAACCAAACAGGACAGAAACAAACTCTAGTGGACAGTCAGGACTTCAGAAAAGGTCATTGGTGTGACCTTATTATGCGACTTATTATGTGAGCCTGCCCTCCATGGAGGACCTGTACACCTCATGGGTCAAAAGGAGGGTGGATACACCCTGGATACAATCTGTTTGAACTCCTCCCCTCTGGACGGCGTTACAGGTCACTGTGCACCAAGACAACCAGGCACAAGGACAGTTTCTTCCCCCAGGCCATCACTCTGATTAACACTTAACCAAATGGACAATAACCCTCAATGCAATACCTGTAAATATACATTGTACCGGTTATACAGATCTGTACAGGTCTCAATTTTTAAATGGTAAATGGACTGTATTTATATTGTGCATTTTTCCACGGTGTATTGCACTTGCCAAGGTGCTTTACAGGAGATGATACACCATTCACACACACCGATGACGACAGGCTGCCACACAACGGCGCTAGTCAAGCCACCGGGAGCAATTCGGGGTTCAGTGTCTTGCTCAGGGACACTTAGGCATGCAGGGAGACCGGGAGTCGAACCACCAACTTGCTGGTCAGGAGATGACTGCCCTACCTCGTGAGGCACAGCCACCCCTATTTTTAAGTACTCTATCTTTATTCCTATTTATCTCATTTCACAATGAGCATTCCTTTGTCTGTCTGTGTTGTTTACTGCCTGTTTATACTGCTTATTTTGCATTGTTTACACTGTTTGTTGCTTATTAATACTGCTTATTATGTTATACTAGCCTTGTGTTGGTTTACTGTTTACTTACCCCTTGCACAGGGATATGTACATGCACACTGAGAGCCAATGTACCAGAGTCAAATTCCTCGTGTGTCTGACACACCTGGCCAATAAAGCAGATTCTGATTCTGGTTAAGTATTGCAATACATGGTGAGTGAAACAATAATACTTGACTTACAGAAGCCAAACTGTGAGCCAAGGAAGAGAACAAACCCATAAATGGCTCTCTCAGGGACAGGGGAGGGAGAGTTTTCCACCATGATCTGAAACCACGATACAGAGACATGACAAAGTGTAGTGATCCAAAGGCAATTCGAGTTAACTACGAATAATTACATAAAAATGGTTCATTTAGCTAAGACAACCCACGTTTCACCTAATGCTAAAACACTACCAGACACTGTCTTGTAAATAAATATACAATGAAATTTGGATATTTACCAAGATGTTCTCAAAATATGTGACGCAACGTATTTATCCAAAATGTAAATAAAACGGCCCGTGACGAAAGCAAAATAAACGCATTATCAACATTTTTCGCAAGACTCTTGCTGTTACCTTCTTAAATTACATTAACACTGACAACCACCCAAAGTTGCCTTCATACGGCCCCGACGCGATATTTGGCACGACGTGAAGCATTTGCCAGAGACTGAGTTCCGTGTTCGGAATAAAAAGCAAGACAAACAACAAAACATCACTTTTGCCGCATTAATATATCGTATAAATTTGAGTGGATATGCCTAGAACTTGCCGTTGTATGGTTTAGCTTTGTAACTACCTAAACGCGCATATGTTGCGATGTTGTGTGTTGTCCGGGCATATTTGGCTGTTACGTATACCGGAAGTATACAATTCAGCATGGCACAGAAACGTCTGGAGTTCGCTAATGAGCAATTTTATCACTAAATACGGAAACTGTCCTAAAATATGTTCTGCGTTGGTTTGGCTTCACGACAGATTTGACCTGGGACAACATTTCGTAGTGAGACGGTACTGACTTATTTCTTTAACGTTACTTGTTAACCAAGTGACAGAGTTATGATGGTCCAGCGTGGCTGAGGACGGTTAGCACGTACTTCAGGACTTGACCCAAATAAAGCAAAATATTTTACCGAGGGTGGTCACAATGTCAAAGTCGAAGGCAAAGAAAACTGATTATCGAGTTCAAACATATCATCCTACGTCTAAAGGGAAAAAGAGACACTGGTATCAAAAACAGTTAAAAATGGAACAGTCTCTATTAGCCGACCAAAGAAAAGTCAAAGCTCAACAAGCGCAACCTCCAACAGATGCACAGTGGTTCTCTGCCAACTGGAAAGCATTACAAGAGGTAAATGTCTGGTCTGTCTGTGTACCTTAGAGAGATGTTTACATGTGATTTCTAACATTTGTCACATCCCATACATACCTGAAGATGGTTCATATCCTTGAACATTTTCCACAGATATTAAAGACCAGTCCGCCAGAGAAGAAGCAGTCTGTCGCTCCGAAACAGCAGAATGGAGCTCTGCTGAAAAAGAAGGCTAAAGCTAACAATGCTGATCCCAGGCAGACAGACACTGAGAAAAAGGTGAAGCAGAAGACTGTTTCTAACAGTCTGGTCCCCAAGGACTCTCAGGGATGCTTAAGGGTTCCACCTGTCTCAGGGACAAGAAAGTCTACTGCTCCAAAAAGGAAACATGACAGTGGAAAGTCAAACATTGAGCAAGCAGGGAAGAAACAGAAGTCCGTGACTGAAGAGAGAAAATTCACAGCGTAAGTACAGCAGCACTCAAGTCTGCAAATATTTAGGTGAGGAATAATTGTGGCTGTGAAATTAATCTTGTTCTGTGCTCTTGTAGAGAGGACATTTGGTTTGATGATGTGGACCCTGATGACATTGAGGCAACAATAGGACCAGAGGCAGCACAGATTATAAGGAAGAAGGACATTCTGAAGAACCAGGACCCAGAGATGGCCCTGGTGAAGGAGAAAGCCTTTCCTGGGTGAGTGACTACACACCCAGTGTTCTGTTGGTACCTCAAACACGTGCTTCAAAAGAAATTCTGCAGTAGTTACATAGTAATCTTTAAAAGGGGAAGGACAGTTTGACAGTTTCCTACTACAACATTCAGAACTTAGAGGTATCAGAGTGCTTTCATTCATAATTTTGTTAATTAAAAAACTTAACTCTTGCCATAAATTGTGATATGAATGCAGTGTTGGTGCCAGTCTAGCTGCTGCAGTGTCAGTTATGCTATGAGTGGCAGTGTGCTTGTGCTTCTAAAGGAACGTACTGTACCGCTATTTCTTTAGTTAACATTATTGCCTATAATTGCCTATTGCCTGTTTTTTTATAACTGTTTTGTTGCTTGCATTGTTATACCTTAGTGGCAGGCGTTGTTTTTCCTTTATTTTTTTTTTTTTTTTTTTTTTTTTACAGTAAAGAATCTACTTGCAGTGATATAACAGTAAATTTATGTCATTTACCAATGTTAATACATTTGAGAGTGTGGACTGTGCTACTTTAAGAAGGAGTGAGAAAATGTGTAATTTTATATTACAGTATTATAAATGGAAATACAGTGCATTTTGCAGAAAAGGTAAATGAGAACATCTTTATGAATAAAATACCCAGACTAAATTGTCTGTTTTGGTTAATCACCAAATGAAGAACTGACCAATCATCTTGCTTCATCATGTTTTTTGCAAAACATCCTCCCAATTCAATATTGCCAATGCTGAGCTTCTCACTAAGTTGCAGCACTGATCTAAATGGTCAAATACAGCCAGAGATTCTAAAGGGATAGTTACCACAGTACAATATTGCAAAATCTCATATTTGCTTCTTCTTTGTATGTACTGAGTTTTCTGACCTTTTTGTGATTTTTGTTGTGGTAGCACAGCTTGTGAAAACATGTCTCGTTCTATATCTCCCTTAATTGTAAAGACAGGTGGAAGGTACAACATGTAACAGAAACAGAGACGACAGATATTCGTAGCTTCAGCCTCTCAGGCAACTTGACATAGCAGTGACGACTGTCCTCTTTTATCACCCTGTGTGCCATTCACCAAACATTAGCCTCACCAAAGCTGTGGCAATTGATTGCGAGATGGTAGGAGTGGGTCCTGATGGAGAGGACAGCATCTTGGCTCGGGTGTCCCTTGTGAACCAATTTGGGAAATGCATCTATGACAAGTTTGTGAAACCCACAGAGAAGGTGACGGACTACAGGACCGCTGTCAGTGGGATTCGACCAGAGGACATCAAAGATGGTGAGTAATGAAATTAGTTGTAATAAACAGTTCACAAGCAAGTTATAGTTAATTGCTTTAAAATAGTCTTCTTCATATATTGGTATATCATAATTTACCATCCATGTTTCCCTCATTGCAGGAGAGGATGTGCAGACTGTGCGGAGGGAAGTTGCTGAGATCCTGCAAGGCAGAATAGCGGTTGGACATGCCATACACAATGATTTAAAGGTAGCCTGGATTAATATCTGCAAGAGAACTAATACAATTTTCAGATTAAACTGTAAGAACTTTTGAGCCATTCTTAAATTCCTGTTTCAGATTTTACTCTTGGATCATCCAAAAAAGAAAATCCGGGACACTCAGAAGTACAAACCCTTTAGGAAGATTGCAAAGGTGATCATATGACACAATAACCAAGAAACTTTAAAGTTTACAAACTCTATGAATTTGACTCCCAAATACATGCAAACCCCCTAAAAGCACTGCAAATGGTCCCAGTCATGAAATTTAAGTGATAATGAGATTGATTTTCTTTTTTCAGAGTGGTAGACCCTCACTGAAAGTCCTCTGTAAAGAAGTACTCAACGTGAAGGTCCAGCAGGGTGAACATTCATCTGTAAGTCATCAACACATCAAATGCCACTTTCTCATGATTGTTACCAATTATTTATTCCACTTCTGTTTTTCAAATGTTAATAATTGTGATAGTGGTGTAATATTTCATGGTCTCTTTGCACTGCCTTCTCTTGGCTATAACAGATGATTTCCACCACCCTCCTTTTTTCCAGGTTCAAGATGCACAAGCCACCATGAGGCTATATACACTGGTGAAAAAACAGTGGGAAGCAGACATTAGAGCCAGCCACAACACGGACTTAGACAAGAAGAGTGAGCGAAAGCCCAAGTTGCCTAAGCACAAGGGTGGGAATCCCATTGGATTATGAATTTAGAACCAAGGACAGATCCTCTCTGAATCAGAGTTGACCTGACTGATATGATCATCAGTTTGTTTGTTTTTGTAAGAAAAAACTACAAGCAGGCTGAAAGTAACTGATGTTGAACACTTAGGACATTTGTGTACAATCTATCACAGCAGTACCTCAAAGTGAAGAAAAACAAACCGCAAAGAATACAAATGAAAATTCACATAAAGATGTTTTTTTAAAAAGCAATAACAGTGATGATGTGAGCCTGAGCCCCTCAGACAGAGCATTCCAAGATGTAAAAGACCCCATTGTTTTGGCTGATTTACCAAGACTTGATCCAATGCCAGGGCTGTTTTGCCTGAGCATCTCAGGTTGTGACATACATGGGGATTAAAACATCTCAGAGCACAGAGCCTTTATTTACAGTGATACTTTGAGTGATTTCCACCATAAGGATTTCCAGTTGACATTTCCCAGAATGTTATTCCCACCAGTCAGAGGCAGGTGTTCAAATCTTGTGCCATCCATTGGCCACTGGAACCATCATGCATTGTTTTTGCATGATGATTCCAGTGGTTTATAAACTGTTTAGATCATTGGTTTCTAGTAAGTTGGTTTTTAATCATTTGAGTCCTGGTTACCTTAAAAGTTTGATGTTTGGAAAGTATGAAGTAAACAAGAGAGAACTTCTTTCTGTTTAGCTTTATTGCACTTTTTGTGTACAAATTTCCTCACCAGTTATATTGTCATTGACAAAAGTGAATCCATCCAAAGTCCAGCTTTGGCTTAAACTGATGTCTCTAAAGTAGAAACAGTTGACTTTTGACTTATCCAGAATCATCTTGGATTTATACGCTCACATTTTTTGTAATCTATTGCTCTCTTTTTACCTGATCACCACCCACAAAAAGTTTAGAGGCATGTTAGGAATGGTTTGTTGAACTGCCCAAAATCAGACCAGGTTTACTGTATTGTCATGTTTCTGTTCACACCTTAAGAAACATTGTTTTCACACATCACCTCCAGGCATTCTCACATTATCCCAGACAGTGTACATCTACAAAAAGAAACTCCTATTTTTTGTGTTTTTACCAAAGTGCATTCTTGTGTTCGGCTTAGGTCTCTAGAGCAATTGGTTCCCACATTTTTCAAATGTGTATGTGTACTGTGTGTGTGTGTGTGT